ATTGGTGAGGCCGAGCGCGGCGGTTCCGGGATTGAGGCTGTGCTGTGGGGGGGGGAAGAGGGACGGAGGGGGGCGCGGGACGTCACGGCCCGGCGCATGACGTCACCGTCTTGGGGGGTGACGTCCTCGCTGGGGATATTTTGGCCGCTTTTCCCAACCTTCGTGCGTAGGATTCGCCTCTTGCGGGATCTGCGGGGCGTCGGCGCTTCGGGGACTGGCCTGGGGTCCTTTGGGGCCTCCCCACACCCCTGCGAGGTAGGCTGCGGCGCGAGAGGCTTGGAGAAGCCCGGGTTTGCTTTAATCTTGGTTTGTTGGACAAGCCACAGTTGCTTTGGGGCACAAAAAAAAAGCCCCACCGTTTGCAATGGGGGGGAGCCAAGCGAGCCCCGAATTTGGGTCCAAAGGCCCCCTCCTCATTTTAAAGTGGGGGGCCGGTGCTCCCGGATCTGGGCCGCTGAAATCCACCGGGGGCAGCCGGGGTCTCCCTTCTGGGGTCCCTCCTGGCCCCTCAAGGCGGTGAACGAACCTAATGCCCCCGCCTCCTGTTTTGTTTCTTGATTCTTCCGATTTGCTTAGCCGCCCATCTCACAAACGTGACCCTGGGAGGCGTCCAGTAAAGGACAACCATAAAAACATTCCATCATTTAAAAAAAATCAGTATGGTTAAGAAAGGCTGAGTGGGAGCATCTTCGATGTTACAAACAGTGTGGCCGTTGCAACAATTCTCCAGTTCCTTGAGATCCCCAAGCCTGTGGACCCAACCGTGTTTTGAAGAACTTCCAGGAAGCTGCCAAGGATGGGGCCAGTCTCACTGTCCCCACAACAACAAGCCTGTGAGGTGGGCTGGGCCGAGAGAGGGGAACTGGCCCAAAGTCACGGGCTGGTTTTCATGGCTAAGGCAGGACTAGAACTCACCGCCACTGGGTTTCTAGGCCAGCATCTAAACCCCTACACCAAACCGACTCTCTTTCTCCCCAGCAAAAGGGAACTCTGTATCTCACAGAGATGCCATACTAAGATTGGGGGACCCTTTAATCCTTCTCTCCCTCCCAGCCCTTAAAGTACAAGCATATCTCGTTTTATTGTGCTTCACTTTATTGCGCTTTGCAGATATTGCTTTTTTTTTTTTAACCAATTCAGGGTTTGTGGCAACCCTGTGTCAAGCAAGTCTATCAGATAATGATTAGCATTTTTTAGCAATAAAGTATTTTTTAACTGAGGCATGTATGTTATTTTTTTAGACATAATGCACACTTAATAGACTACAGTCTGGGGGATACAGAACTTTAAGGTGCAGTGGGAAACCAAAAAAAATTCATGTGACTCGCTTTATTGCGATGCTCACTTTATTGCGGTGGTCTGGAACCGAACCCGCCATATCTCCGAGGTCTGCCTGTAACTCCCTGTAGGCTGATCTGTCAGCTCTCATACAGGGCGGTTGGGAGCATCGGCGTCGGATGGAACGTAGAGCCGCTCCCCAGGCACTGAAGGAAGAACAGGAGATAAATATTGCATAATACCTTCCTTTTTCTCCAGCTATGCAGCAGCGGCAGATTGAAGGGGATGGGAAGTGGGGAAGCATATGCCTCCCCCCTCCATTCTGCTTCGTGGGCTGGAGGGCGCCATCTCTGTGGAATTTGCTGCTGCCCCATACATTGGGGGTCTGGAAGGGGAAGGAGATATGTTGGGGGTCTGCAAAGGGAAGAAGATATATTGGGGTCCAGAAGGGGAGAAGATATATTGGGGTCCAGAAGGGGAAGGAGATATATTGGGGGTCCGGAAGGGGAAGAAGATATATTGGGGGTTGGGAAGGGGGAGAAGATACATTGGGGGTCTGCAAAGGAAAGAAGATGAGGTGGGTGGATCAGAATGACTGATGCAGCAGAGACCTCTGACCTGGCCAATGTTAGATTCAGCAGGGGAACCTTCAGTCTGGTGGATTTCATCCTGACAAGGGGGAAGGAACGTGGTTTAATTTCCCTTTTTTTTTTCTTCCTTTCCGTCATGTGCAGCTTTTACCTTGAAGTTGTAAATGATAGAGCCATCTAGTCAATATGTGCATTGCGTTTTTATCTGGGATTCTCTTACACCTCGACATGTGCGATACAAGCCTGCTTT